CCCCGTCCTTTCCGTCTGAGTATCCCCAAAGCATCCTTAATCTTCCCCCCAGCAGTGAGCACAGCCCCGCGCTCCCAATCTTGATTGAGCACGTGGTGCTTAGCCCTCCACTCTATAGCGTGACAGTAAAAGGGCAGGGTTTTTTTCCTGCCCAATCCCTACTCAGCCCGGGAAATTTAAACCCTTTAACGGTCGCAGTGCCGAAGCTAGCCAATGAGGAGCCAGGGTCATGCTATAAATTACACGCTGCAGGGCTGGATAGTTTATTCTGCGTCTGACTTAGCAGAGGTGTTCAGCGGTGCGCTGTAGCAGAGATGGCGCGTACCAAGCAGACAGCTCGTAAGTCCACTGGTGGCAAAGCGCCCCGTAAGCAGCTGGCCACTAAGGCGGCGCGGAAAAGCGCCCCTGCTACCGGTGGAGTGAAGAAGCCGCATCGCTATCGCCCCGGCACGGTGGCCCTGCGGGAAATCCGCCGCTACCAGAAGTCCACAGAGCTGCTGATCCGCAAGCTGCCTTTCCAGCGCCTGGTGCGGGAGATCGCTCAGGACTTCAAGACCGACCTGCGCTTCCAGAGTTCGGCCGTCATGGCCCTGCAGGAGGCCAGCGAGGCCTACCTGGTGGGGCTCTTCGAGGACACCAACCTGTGCGCCATCCACGCCAAGCGAGTGACCATCATGCCCAAAGACATCCAGCTGGCGCGCCGCATCCGCGGGGAGAGAGCTTAGATTCCCCACGCTTCCTGCCCACGCGAAAGAGACGAAATTCACAGCTGTTCTAGACACTAATTATGTTTCCTTTGCAAAGGGGCCAACTCTGTAAAGCTCGTTACGTTTCTTGTGGCTTTAAGCTAATGGGTCGGTTCAGTCCTGCAAAAGCTCATTGTAAATGGGAGGTTCCCCCTTAAGTCATAATTGTTGAAAAAGTTCTCAGGTATTTGCCGCTCTACAATTTTTACTCCCCTCCCTGTTTATTTCTCCAGAAAACATTTCTGGCCAGTCTATCCGAGAGGCAGTTGTGACTCGCTGTTTGAATTTGCTACACTGAAAAACAAACTTGGTAGCAAAATATTCCTTACGAAGCAGGCTGAAATGCATCTTTTCGCACTGTTTCCGAAGGATTTCTGAATTCATGGTCTTAAATATTTGATGCCACAGCCATGCTGTCATGGGGAGGGTTGTTGGCTTACTCAATAGCAAGGGGAAGAGGATAATCAAAGAAGACTTGAGCTTTAGGGGGATCCGAATTATCCGGTAACGGGAAAAACTTAAAACAAGGCTTTAAAATGCTGCTAGACTAACAAAGCATGTAGATGGTATGAGTTTTCGTTAGTACAACCCACTTCCTCAGATGAATGGAATATTAAAAGTAGGGATCCGAAAATAAATAGGGGGTGGATTGGTGTTCGGTTGGTGAAGTCATGAGGGTGTGGAAGGTAGTGTGTTAGCCAGCTATTGTCTTTATTCATACTTTTGTGATGGTTCCCAAGATTTTTAAAGTGACTTCCGCAGCGCTTCCCGCTCTGCAGATAACTCTTCAAAGGATTCGTTTTACTGCTGGTGTAAATCGATTCCTGTAACTAACTTTCCAGAATCTAAGCTTGACCCGGATGTACAGTTGCTTCCTTTTTAACTGGTCTTGTAATCTTTGAAACATTAGCTTTCATATTTTTGTCTGAATTTTATTCATAGACATCCAAAATCTCTTCTGGGATTCCTGGGGGCGGAGAGGGGGAATAATATTTCCCTGAAAAGGAATGTGTGTGAACTGAAGTGGCCACACAATGGAGCCATATCCTCATATAAGAAACAATGTATTTCTACATAGACGCTCTAATCTAAAGCAACACATGTTTTTTTTTTCCCATGAGGCGCAACTGGAAGGCTAGCCTAATTTCTTCGATCTAATAAACCAAAACACTGGAGAGGGGGGGTCTGATAAATTTGGCTGAAGGCATGAGGGGATAGTGTTATAAAACTGTGAATGAAGTTTTTTTAAGCAGGGTCTCCAAAGTTGTTAAAAACACAACTGTATTAAATAGATACTCGTCCCTGGGTGGGCTTGAACCACCAACCTTTCGGTTAACAGCCGAACGCGCTAACCGATTGCGCCACAGAGACTTCCGTGTCTGTGACTTTCTCGGGTCAATCATGGTATGGTTTCCTAGAGATGAGAGACTTCTGAAAAACTTCCAATCGGTGAAATCACCACCACAAAGAATCAATGGGGCAAGCCAGAGGAACGGGCCCTACAAGACTAGCTGTGCGGGGTGGAGTTATGGGGAAGCTAATTATGTAAAGGATTCCTTTATGGATGAAGTTGGGGGGAACAAAAGAACCAAAGCGTGAGAAGAATTTGGAGAAGGACGCATCGTAGCCGGTTGCAGCTCCAACCAGGGCGAAAGAGGTGCTTGTGTCGTTCCCCTCAACTACAGTGCTAGGGAGAAGAGCTTCCCTGTTTCAGGTCTTCCTTGGGCAGCTCAGGCAACGCCGGTAGAAAAAGGGGCCTGCCCTTTGCAAACTTTTTTACAGCTGCTTTTACCATGAGAGAGAGAGAGTGCACAAAGCAAGATTTTTTTCCAGAGCTTTCCTGCAACAGGGCAACCAATTCCCAGGTTGATATTTAGCTTTCCCGTCTACATAGAACTAGGGTTGGCGTGGGTAGGCAGGTCCCAGACGGGGTCTCTCGCACATTGGGGTTTGTGCATTCAGGTGAAAGCATAAAGAAAGGGATCACTGCGACGAGGATGGGATTCGAACCCACGCGTGCAGAGCACAATGGATTAGCAGTCCATCGCCTTAACCACTCGGCCACCTCGTCTGCTATAGCTAGGTTTGGATTAGATCTTCATAAGGGAATTTCCACCAGATAATGCCAAACCCATGTCACTGAGCTCAGCAAATATGACAGATGAAATTTCCATTGCAGGTGGGGATGTAGCTCAGTGGTAGAGCGCATGCTTCGCATGTATGAGGTCCCTGGTTCAATCCCTGGCATCTCCATAACTTTTCCTTTATGATTTTGCGAAGGGAGAGGAACAGGAGGCGGGGACACAGTTTGGTCACAAAGGCCTTGCAGCCATGTTGGAAAGGACCAACAAAGCAGCCGCAATTTATTACCAGCAGTTACCATTTAAAATAAAATGGTAGAGCCTGAGTGCTTGAAGGCTTGGTTGGGCCCTGTATTTAATGCTCACCCCTGGGTCCTTGTTTGGGCTTGGCTATCTTGCTTGTTTTACATATCCAAAGGCATTTCTGACTGTGGTTTTGGGCCTTTCTGTTTTGAAGTTACTGATTTTGTGTTGCTCTGTAGTAGGCTGGTTTCTATGAGATCTGATTTTTTAATAAACACAAAGACCAACCAGAGGGTACAGCTAGACTCCGGGATCCCCCCAAAACTCCAGGGAACACGTTTGTTCTTCCACTTTTTTTTGCAGAAGAGCAAACGCTCTTTTGGAAGCCCCTGTATTCCTCGCTGTACTAGGAAGAAGGGGGCTTCTGAAAGAGCGGCTTTTCCTGACAAGTGTCCTAGTCTAGACGGGACAAATGTTGGAAAAGCCTCTACCAACAAAAGCGCATTTTGCGTGCCTTTTCCCATCAAAAACTTGTAGTCTAGCCGTATCCAGAGTGACATGGGGGAATGTAGCAAGGATTGGGAGGCCCAGCTATTTGGCGCTTTGGAGCGGCTGGGTTTGGATGTGGTGGCTATGCAGGAACTACATATTAGCTACTTCAAGGTACCTTGATTGGTGTAAGCTGATCGGAGGACAGGCCTGTCTTTCTGGTCCTCCAAGCCAGGCAAGTACAACGAGGTAGGAATCTGAGGGTATATCTACACTGCAAGCTTCTTTTGGAATAAGCTTTTCTGGAAGAGATCTTCCAGAAAAGCTTATTTCAAAATAGAGCGTCCACAAGCCAAAAGCGCAAAGAAATAGCGATGTGCTATTTTGAAAGATAGCATCCACACAGATTGGACGTTATCTCCAGGGCTGGACTAAGAGGTGGGTGAGCCGGGCAGCTGTCCGAGGCACCAACCGATGGAGGGTGCCTGATGGCAGCTGTAAGGGGCGTGCGGCGTCCCTTATAGCTGCCATCAGGCGCCGTGCGCCTGGCTCCCACAGCGCCGGCCCCCCCATCCCTATGGTGCTGGCCAGCAGCGCCTTACCCCCCACGGCCGCGGGGCCCTGCATGACCAGGTGTGGCCCGCCCCAGGCTGCACGCCAGCAGCGGTGGCCGGGCTGGGCTGGATAGCACATGCGTCGTGCGCCCCCAGGGGCCAGCTCGTGCACTCCATCAGGCGCCGTGCGCCTGGCTCCCACAGCGCCGGCCCCCCCATCCCTATGGTGCTGGCCAGCAGCGCCTTACCCCCCACGGCCGCGGGGCCCTGCATGACCAGGTGTGGCCCGCCCCAGGCTGCACGCCAGCAGCGGTGGCCGGGCTGGGCTGGATAGCACATGCGTCGTGCGCCCCCAGGGGCCAGCTCGTGCACTCGAGGGGTGGCGGGCCCGCGCCCCAGGGGCAGGCCCACGCATGCCTCGTGCGCCCGGGCCTGGGGTGCCAA